TGAGCTCTGTGCACGGAGCGGGTGGGGAAGGGGAGCGGGAGAGCTAGAGACTCAGAGAGGAAAAAAGGAAGGCGCGCTGCAGAGCGAGGAGGAGCGAGTGAGGGGCGGAGACCAGGAAGTGGGTGCGGGCATGGGGCTCGGGGCTCGGGCCACCCTCTCCGTCCCAGTCAGGGAGCCAGAGAGCGGCGGGCGCCGGTAGAGGAGGCGCGGGAACCGCAGCGGAGCCCTCGGCTTCAGCAGCACCAGGTAACACGGCCGGGCACTTGCTGGAGTTTCCCCAGCGTCTCCGGACCCAGAGTTCGAGCCGGCGCTGCTGCTCGCTGGCTGTGCATGACCTTGGCCGGTCCCTCAGCCGGTGGAGCCTCAGTTTCCTCCTCTGTGACCCATGGAGCCCTGCCGCTTCCGCCAAGGGGATGCTGCGAGCGCGGGGATGCAGTCCCGGTGCGCCGTGCGCTGGGTCAGGTAGTGTCCTCTCTCCCGCGTGGGCGTGGATCTGCGAAGTCCACTTGCGCTGAAACAGTCAGCCCCTGGGCGGCCGGGTCTGGGTGGAGGCACTGGAGCATGAAGCGACTTTGTGCTTAAGGAAAGCCAGGGGCTGGCCAGGGGTGGCGAGATGGGCCCCTAGCTCTCAGGGATCGTCTTCACCAGCTGCTCCCTGATGCTGGGATGGAGCTGAGGGCAGCGCTCCGGGCAGGGACGCTCCCACCCCCACCCCCCAACATCTGGAAAGGGGTTCGCCTCCAGGATGAGCCAAGCAAGTGGCCTCGGCTAAGAATCCCAGTTCGCCTGCTTACTCAGTGCAGCTGACCTTCAGCAAAAGGGCTTCAGTTTCCTCCCCAGGAAAGGGGTATATGCGTGCCTGCTCGGAGATGGCTGGGAGGGTAGGAGGGGGCGGGGCAAGAAGGTCCTTGCAACTGTGGTGCCCCCACCATGGCAGCTGTCACACCTTAAATCAGGGCCCAGAGTGCAGGTGCCCTTTGCCTCCCGGAGCCCATCGTCATCACCAGGTAGGTCCTCCCTGGTCCCCTTTGCTAGAGATGGTCAGTGGCCCTGCTGGGCATGAAGCAGGACCCAGGGACAGGGGGACAGGAGCCCCCCCAACCCAGACACACATCTGGATGGTTCCCTAAGACATGAGATCTGTGAGATGCCACTTCATATCCTGTAGAGATTCCTGGTTTCTCTCGGAGCCTCCGTCTCCTGATTTGTCATACGAAGTTGTGACTTATGAGTTCCCTGTAGGTTATGAAAGGCGATTGGAGAGATATATTGATTGTCCTCCCTGACGCTGAGATATGCTGAGAACTGAATAGAAGGAGAAAATGCCACTTCTCTGACAGCTGCCCTGTGCGGGCCTGGGGTGCTATGTATACAGCAGTGGCTACAGTCATCTCACCAATCCTGGGAAGTCAGTGCCACTAAAACCCAATTTACAGACGAGGAAAGCAAGGCTCAGGGGGTCCGTGATCCACAGAGTCACCTGGTAGGAAGTGCCTGTGCTGGGGGTGGCCTCAGGTCTGCCTGGCCCCAGACATGGCTGTGAAAAGTGTCTATCACCGGCTGGGCGCCTGGCAGGTGCCAACCCGAGCAGCAGGATTTCCTGGCCCAGGCCTCATGGAGAAGGCGGGTCTGCTGGCTGGCCGTGGGCCTGGGCGCCTTTGCCAGGTGGCTTTTCCAGGGTCTGAAGGGAAGGTCACCCCTCAGCACCACGCAGGAAGCAGAGACCAGGCTGAGTCACTCCATTCCACCAACCCTCTTCCTTCCTCAACCACCTTGTCCGGGATCCCCTCGTCCCCATTAACCTTGGCCTCGGCTGCTTCCCCTGGCTTCACGGCACTTTCTGTTCCCCATCCTCCGTGGGTGACTAACTGAACTGGCCCTCCTGGTGATGCGTCCGAAGGGGAAACGAGGCCGGCTGTGGTCCATCTCCCCAGCGCACCAGGGAGGGGGACATGGGATTAAGACCCAATCCCGGGGATTAGCTCAGTCCTGGGAGGAGATCCCTGCTGGCTGGTGGGAAAACGGGCGTCCCGTTAGGCTAGAGAGGTTTCTCTACCAAAAAATGTTTTAAAAGAAGAAGAGGACATCCAAAGCAAGGACAGGGATATGAACAAAGGCTCTTTCGAATGCAAACAGATTCATCAACAACCAGAAAGCGCCTAAATGTCCAACAAGAGGGGTCAGTTAGGTTATGAGACAGCGTGCTGCTAAGAATGGACAGTTTTTAATGAATGGGTTCATGCTTGTGCATAGGCATGTATATGACATGGCCACAAATCTGTGGCGAGCACTTTTGAAAAAACACTGGAAGGAAATGAGCCAAAGCATGTTAACAATGTCTGCCGGCTGGGTGGTGGCATTATGGGAGATTTATTACTTGACTCTTTATAATTCTGAACTTTCCAGATTGTATGCAGTGAGCATACTCTTTAATAATTAGTGGTCATTGAACTGTCTGGTTTCTAGTGACAATATAACCCACCCACTCTCACCTCCTCCTGGCCAGCACCCAAGACAGGGCCAGCATATGAACACTTGTCAATTACAGGGCCACCCTCTTGGGTGAGGCCTGGTTGGCCCCTTAAAAGGAAGAGGAATACTAAGTTATTAACATCCGTTTGTTCTTACTATGTGCTCACGATAACCCATTTACAGAAAGGAAACCAGGAGCCAAACAAATGCAGCCAGGTGCCCGGGCCAGTGTCACACCCGGTTCAATCCCAGGCCATCTAGATTCAGAGACCACACTGCTAACCAGGGTCAGGAGGGTCAGCAGATTCTAGTAGCTGACATTCAAGCACCTAGCACTGCAGCCCTGCACTGTACAGGCACAGAACCGGCTCAGCGGTGACCTCCAAAGTGCCAGGTCTGTGCAGGATGCAGGGGACCCAGAGGCTCACAGTGCCATCTCTACAGAGGGGTGAGGGGCAGTGGCGTGCAAACAACGTCCTCAGGGCTGTGATGGGGAGTGTTTAGGAAACTGTGGGACTTCAGAGGTTGAAGGGTGAGGGCTCCCTGGAAGACTGATTATCAGAAATGGTTCTAGAAGGATCACCAGGAATTGACCAGGTGAGCAAGAAAAGTTAGAACAGTGGTTCTCACTGTGGACAGCTTCCCTCCAGGGGACATCTGGCAATGTCTGGGGGTATTTTTGATTGTCGCGACCGGGGTGTGTGTGTGAGTGGGGGGGTGTGGGGGTCCAGGGATGCTGCTACACATCCTACCAATGCACAGGACAGGCTCCCCACAATGAAGAATAGCCCTGTCCAAAATGCCCACAGCGCCGAGAGAGCTGGGTGGGAGGAGAAGGGAGATCCTGACCCGGGATCAGCCGTTCAAGGCAGCACAGGTGCTCACGCAGTGCCTCCTGTGGGCCGGGGGCTTGGAGCCCGTGACTGTACTACCGGCCGCCTGGCTGCCCTGCTGCCATCCTACCCCCACCAGCGACCAGTGGTCTCTTTTTTTAAAAAAAAGCATAAAAGCTTAACCGATATAATTCACAGACATACAATTCACCCATTTAAAGTGTACACGTAAATTGCTTTTAGAGTTGTGCAACCATCACCACGATCTAATTCCAGAACATTTTTATCGCCCCGAAAAGGAGCTCTGTACACACTGGCTGTCACTCCTGATCCACCCCCTACGCCAGTGATGGTGAACCTATGACACGCGAACTCATTTTTTGGTTGATTTTTCTATGTTAAATGGCATTTAAATATATAAAATAAATACCAAAAACATGTCTTTGTTTTACTATGGTTGCAAACATCAAAAAATTTTTTATATGTGACACGGCACCGGAGTTAAGTTAGGGTTTTTCAAAATGCTGTCACGCCGAGCTCAAAAGGTTCGCCATCACTGCCCTACGCCCACCCAGGGCTAGGCAACCACTGACCTGCTTTCTGTCCCTACTGATGTGCCTCTTCTGGACATTTCCTATCAATGCAATCACGTGATGTTCGTTCGGCCTTTAGTGACTGGCTTCTCTCACTTAGCATTTTATTGTCAAGATGCTCCCGTATCGGAGCAGTGCCAGTACTTGGTTCCTTCTTATGGCTAAAATCACATTCCTTTGTATGAACACCTCACGTTTTACTTATCTGTGTATCCGCTGAGGGACACTGGGGCTGCCTCCCTCCTCTGGCTGCTGTGGACACTGCGGGATGGGCATTTGGGAGAACGTGCATCTGCATTTCCTCGGGGAATATACCGGTGAGTGGGATTGCTGGGGCATATGGGAACTCCCTTCACCTTTGAGGAACCACCGGCCGGTTTTCTGGAGCAGCTGCCCATGTCCCCTTCCCTGCAGCAGTGTCTGCGGGTTCCATCTCCTCTGCATCCTCGCCAGTGCTTATTCCCCAGGCTTGGCTCCTCGCCATCCTGGTGGGGGTGAAGTGGTATCGCTGTGGTGTGGATCTGCATTCTCCTGCTGGCTAATGAGTGTGAACATCTTTTCGGGAGCTCGTGAGCCATTTGTTATCTTGTTTGTAGAACCATCTATTCTGATCAGAGTCATCTTTTAAAACTCCCGTATTTCGCCTGAAGTGCAAACCGCCGGAGGTCTGCAAGGCTGTGCATGATGGGGCGCCGCTCCGTGGGCCGCATCTCTCCGCACTCACCCAGCTCTGGCCACACTGGCCTCAGAGCGGCAAGCTGCTCCCTCCTCAGGCCTTTGCATGGGTCAGTTTAGTGAGTCCTCCCCGTCCTCTCAGTCTCAAGTGCCAGCACCCCCAGGCCCTTTCTAGCACCTCTCAAAACCTCTCTCTCTCTCTCTCTCTCTCTCTCTCTCATTCTCTCTCTCAAAATATGTTTTTATTGATTTCAGAGAGGAAGGGAGAAAGTGAGAGAGAGAGAGAAACATCAATGATGAGAATTGCACGCCCCATACTGGGGATTGAACCTACAACTGGGCATGTGCCCTTGACCGGAATCGAACCTGGGACCCTTCAGTCCACAGGCCGACGCTCTATCCACTGAGCCAAACCGGCTAGGACTCAAAACTTCTTTTGATCGTGTATTTGTTGTTGTTGTGTTTTGGTGGTTGTTTTTTTTACTGTCTGATAAGAGCTGGAAGAACTGGGCTGCAGACGTGACTACACCTTTCATCGCTGTGTGAACCTGGGCAAGCCACTGCCCACCTGAGAACCAGGCAGGGGCGTAGCTGACTTCCACTCGGCCAGGGCTTTCCCCACTCCGCCCTTCTCTGATCCCAGCTTCTATGCGACGGCGCTGCCAGGAGGCGT